ATTTGAGAACAGGGTGCTGAGGAGAATATTTGGACCAAAAAGAGAGGAAGTTACAGGAGATTGGAGTAAACTGCATAATGAAGAGCTTCACAACTTGAACTCTTCTCCAAGTATAATTAGAATAATGAATTCAAGGAGTATGAGATGGGCAGGACATGTAGTATGAATAAGGGGTAGTGGAATGCATATAGAATATGGGCGAGAAAGCCAGAAAGAAAGAGACCACTTGGAATACAAAGACGTAGATGGGTGGATAATATTAAAATTGGTCTTCGAGAGGTATGTCAAAATGGTATGGATTGGATTTATCTGACTCAGGATAGGGACCAATGGAGAGCTCTTGTGAACACGGTAATAAACCCTCGGGTTCCATAAATGCTGGGAAGTTCTTGAGTAGCTGGACAATTGGCAGCTTCTCAAGTATGGCTCAGCTGCATGAGTGAATGATACCCCCTGAAGTATGAACTTGTCATATGACAACAAATCATTACTCTCTGAAGAAGAGTGTGCTTCCCAGTCAATAATAGAATGTAACTTTTCCTCTTGCGTCATGTACCTGCTACTCACCCGCCAGCCAGCGCTACCTGACATATATTTTTAATTTTTGTATTTTCATGGCAAAGTGAAGTATTGATTTTGTGGGAATTTTTCGTATATATATATACTGTACTTGGTTGCAGTTTGCTGAAAAGCTTTGGGCGGTTTCTTTGTGGCGACAATCTATGCTTTATTTGTCTGTCGTCTTCACTAGACCTGAACATCGTATTATGGAGCTGTGTTCCTGGATTTATCAATTATCCGTTTGACACTCTCAGATGATTGCAGTCTTTGGCAACTTCTCCTGCAGCACCTCATTCTCCTTCAGTACGATTTAGCCTCGATGTAGTGGTTTGGCATTTCTGACTTCTCTGCGTGTTAACAGTTTTAAAGTAATAATCCATTCATACTAGCGCCACTTATGCTGATGAAAATGGAAAAGATAATGAGATTGCTAAAAGGTAAAAAAAGAAGGTAAAGCTATCCATGTAGCATGCCGTGGAGACGTCGAGGCTACCACATTTTCTATAAAATCGACACAGAGGCGGTGAGGTTTCGCAAGCCTCACGCGCCGGTCGCCCTTTACACCCTGGAAGATTCCCGGTAATAATTGCCGTTAGAGGCTGACTCGACCCCATAACTATAAGAGGGGTTGGGTGGAAGGTTTAGGTCAATTGACAAATCAGTGGTCTCAACTGGAATCGAACCCGCGATATTTAACAACGCAAATTTACAATTTATGTTAATTTAACAGATAACTTTGTTAATTATAAATCCATACTGTTGTTTCCAGTTTCCGAACTCATTTCAGTGTGTTGCACGTTTGTAATCTGGTGCATTTTAATTTAAAGTAATTTCTACTGTAAAAATTAATAAGTAGAAATAACAATGAAATGGATGTTTTGTTCGAATATCACAAAAAAATAAAGTACAAAATAAAATATAAAATAGCGTTGCAATTTTTCACAGCATTTGCAAAATTAAAATTGCACTGTCGAATTTAGTATCCACTTGTAGGATTTTTGTAAATTTACCGTTATCTATTACAAATTAACCTCAGATATTTCCTTGTTTTTATCTTTGTTCTTTCGAAATGTAAACCTGGTAGGAAATGTTATCAGTGTTAAAAATCTTTGGATAACTGTCATTATGGGCATAGACGCTTAACAATATAATTGTTGTTCAAGTAGCCAGGAAATTCTTCGTCCCTTATAAGTGACTGTCAGACTTCTCGAGAGGAACACAATCTGACAATCCGGCTTCGGCAGTAAAGTTTCTAACTTGTATTCGGACAGTGCATGGTTCGAAACACAGAAGGGCACCAATTATCCTGACCGAATAGTTTCGCGTTTTTTCTGAGTTCATTCAGGCGCAACCGGTGTAGGACAATGAAAATGTAAAATTCTCTTCCTTCTACATCCTTTCTAGTTCATCATTCACTAATCATCCTGTCATTACACAGCATACAGCCTCCGCCACTGATAATGTCGGATAACAATTCTTCCAACAAGACAGACCATGATGCAGAAAATGAAAGTTTATTTCTTCTCCAGTTCATGTTATGTTTCCGATATCTCTCATTTATGAAATATCAATTTTCGTATCTACAAACATTCAGTAGTATGGGGCTGTGCAGGTAAAAATGTAAACTTTCCATGAAACGAGCCGTGAAGGTCCACAGGGGTGTGAGACGTTACGGCTCCTACATTTTCTAGACAATCGGCTCATAAATGGCGGTGAGGTCAGCCTTACGCGCCGGTCGCCCTTTACCTCCAGGAAGATTCGTAGTACTCCTTTCTGTTAGAGGCTTAGTCAACCTCAGGCCATATTGCGGCTGGAATAAATAGATCAACTGAAAAACCCTATGACATCGGGAATCGAACCCGCGACGTTCCGGCTTGTAGCATAGTGCCTCAGCCAACCACTCTAATGCGTGCCCCGTCTGAGCCTATACTGAATTATATTTCACACGTCGGGTTATATCCGTACTGTTGTTGTCTCACAGGTGCTTCTGAGCTGTATGAAATTCATAATGCTTATGACGAGTACGACTTCATATCCTGGAGGTATGGTGACCCATCATTTGAAGACCGTCACGAACCGGGATTCCTGTCTGATACTATAGTTAGGCCATGTCTCCTGTGACCTCACAGCGAGAGCCCGATGGGAGTCCATCTTGAAACTTCATTCATGAAATTCAGCAACCAAACCTTTTTCAAAAGTTTGTATTAAACATGCATGCATATTCGGAACTTATTTTTTATTGCTAGTGGGGTGGGACTAAGTCCGTTGTACTGCGGCCACTTCTGGCCTATTGTACCAGCCCCAGATGATAGGTGAGGGTGATTGTGGAGCAGTTGGTGGAATGAAGATTGGCAGGGGAAAACGAAGTACTCGGAGAAAGTCTACCTCAGCGCCACTTTATCCACCACACATCCCACTTGACCAGACCCGGGATCGGACCCGGGCCGCTGCAGTCGAAGCCAGCCACTAACCGCTTGAGCTATGGCGCGTCCTATATTCGGAACTTTAATGCAAATTTACTTGTGGTAGTCAATCCCATTAGAAGTGTTCTGTCTCCTGGGATATAATGCTGTTCCAGTTCACTGACAGTCAAATGACGTTTCGGAGGAATCTGTCGTCTCCAACAGCGGAGTAGAAGAATAAGCCAAGCAAGAAAGCGGCATAAAAAAGGTAGCAAACTCTGGAGGCGAGATATTCCTTCGAAACGTCGTTTGACTTTCGACGGACTACAAGGTGTTACACTCCAGAAGATAGAACTTTTTATAGCCTCAGATCTTGAAATCTCGTTTGAGATACAAACAGTTATCTTCAGAAAATACAGTATGAAGTAATCATTTACAACGTTCGTGTATTTTCTGCATTTGAATGTGGACACTCGTTCTGCTGTGTACTGTGTGACTTCTTATCGGATCAGATAACAGCACTTCTCTGATTGTCACGTTTTAAGTTCCAACGTTCAGGGCATTGTGAACGTTTATCTGCTGTCAATTATGTGGTTTATTCTCAAATATCGGCATCTAAGAACGCACGTGAGAATTGATGTTTTTCAGGAAGTGACAGGATGGACCAGAGTTCGGAAGAAGCGAACAGTCTCTCACATAGGCAAGAGACGTCTATCTGTTACGTTATCCGAAAGCTTGATTCCGTGGCCACAAGAGCTCGCTTAAAGACCTATCCCAGAGCAGATAAATTAAATTCACATCATCACATATCATTTGTTTCAAGAACCATTTTAATATTATTCTTCAAGCTACGCCTAATTAGTTAATTAATTAGTTTAGTTAATTTAATAATAGCGGCCTCCGTAGTCTAGGGGTAACGTTTCCATCTCATGACTCAAGGTACCCGGCGGAGGTCGTGGAATTTTTAAGGGCGGAAAAATTCAGGAACAAGTCCTCCGGGAGGGAGTTTCAGCTGTGGGTCCCGCAAAAGATCCTCATGTATCTAGGAGACCTCTGAACAAAATTAGGCAAAGTTTCCGCCTAGGTAGTTTCCAATGCCTCCGGTAGATGGGGAAGTATCGGGTACCACTGCCAGACTCGCTGGCTGAACGGGGCTGATAACGAGCACCAGTATCGGAAGGGTATGGCGACAGTAGAAATTAAAGGGGGACGCACAATGAACCAATAACTGGTCTAAGTGCATGGGGAAACCCACCCCCTCTAATAATGGTTGAATGAATGAATGAATGAATGAATTTAATAATGATTCTCAGAATTGTCTTGATGGCCTACCAGTATGCCCTGGGTTCTGTTTGCAGTCACAGTCCATTCATTAACTTGTCATCAACGTTGATGCACAGTGTCTTTTATTTGCATTTAAATCTCGCTGTTGAACAAGGATATTACGTAATTGAAAAGATTGCGCAATACTGATACTGTGAAAGAAAGGCAATTGGAATTCGAACGAACTTGATTGTGTGATTACAGTTTAAAAAGATATAAAGGAGATAAGAATACAAAGAAGAAAAACATCGAAATGGAATTACAAATAAAACATTCGAAAGGAACCATTACGAAGGACACAAATTATTTTATCTATAATTTTGATTGAAATATTTGATATACTAACAATTAATGACACTTTAGACCCAGTTCTGGTATCAGTTCATAAACGAATGACATTCTATATGCAGTTAATTATCAACTCTGTCTCACATGCTGAAATAATTTATTTGTGAGCCAGTGTAGGCTTGTGTTCATTGCTGACACAACATATCTCTTTCTTTTCTGAAATTCGTCTTGTGAGTTGTGTAAGTGTAACTACATATCCAGGTAGGTGATCCTTGGAACAATGTGAACTGTTGAGATCAGAGGGAGTCTCGGTATCAAATGACAGGTGGTTCTTTATAAGAATATATCTGTGAAATGTGAATATACAATTAATATACATCTAAAAAGCTACATTTTCCACTCTAAAGTTGTTTTATATTTAATCAGAACTGCTATGAAGAATCTATCAGACTTGGCGAATATTGTGCTTCTAGTCATCGTGTTCAGTGAGACTCTGGGCTTCGAGTATGGCGTGCGAGGTGATATCTTGAAAGTTTATCGCAGTTCAAAGGAAGGACTTATCTCTTCAGGTAAGAGAAATTATTTTATGTAATGCAGACATATGTTCTCGTTGTTTGCAGGAGATGCAGTTTATTTCTAGACATACTTGTTTCAGTATTTCTCGTAATCACAATAAAATTCTCAGCCTCTAACAGAAATAAGTACCAGGAATTAATTAAACAATTTTCCTGGGGAAGTAAAGCGCGTAAGGATGACAACCTTACCGCCATCTTTGAGCCGATTGTCTAGAATCTAGACTCTAGATAGTGTGGGACCCTCAACGTCTCACAACCCTACGGGCCTTCACGGCCTGTTACAGGGATAGCTCTCCTTTTTTTTCTTGTCTACTTATAATTCGGGAAGACTGAAACAGGTTTTAGAATAACATGTTAATATATTGCTGTTTTGTTTCAATTGGGTCCTCATCAGCAAATTTCCATTAACACTGTTATTATTCTGCGCTGAAGCATCACTTGATATCATAGTCCGAGCTCTGAAAGATTTTGCTGTGCGTATCAATGCTAGTTCTCAATGGTTCTGTACGTCTTCCGCGCAGGTAGTGTTTTTCTGTGGTAAGGTCAAACCCTTTAACTTCGCTCGGAATTTAGATTACCTGAAAGTAATTTTCTTGGCAATAAAAATAATAAATCATACAATTATTGACGTTTGAGACATCCATCGATCTCCTTTTATATGAAAAGACGTTTCGGAGGCTACTATGCCTACGTTCCCAGGTGAAAAGCATACTCAGTTGGGCCCAATCGATAGAGGAAGTGCCTATCTCCCGGATTGGTTTATGTATACAATCCTTGTGTTGGTTCTAGTATCCGGAGATAGGAACTAGCTCTAACAATGGGGCTAAACTAAGTAGGCTTTCATCTGAGGGCGAAGACAGAGTAATATCCGAAACGTCGTTTTAAATATAAAGAGGACGATGGATAATGTCCAGAAATTCAATAATTGTTTCAAAATACCGATTTCATGAGCTCTTAGGTATTATTAGTCACAGATCATAATTATAAACATGATGCAACTGAGAAAAGATTAAACGCGGAAAATATTTTCTATCGTTCAGTTAAAAACCTTTTCTCTTCCAATCCCAGATTGTAGAGCCTAAAGATTAAAGTGTAGTGAACTATAATTTGAATTGGTTTATACGGGTTAGAACCCCAGTCCCTCATTTAAAGGGCATGGTAGAAGTGGAAATTATCTCCAAGGAAGACGCGGGCGGGAGGCAACAGGGCCATTAAACCAAAATTGTACATGTTTTATTATGGAAGATTTGTATTTTATAACACACTGAGAAGAGATGAACAGCAGTGAGTTCAGAATGAATTCTGATTTAATTGATGTTAATTTATGCTTATTAGTTACATATTGTGCCGGTCACGGTAGCCGAGCGGTCTAAGGCATGTACTGTCCTCGCTCGCTTGGAAACCGGGATCGTGGGTTCGAATCCCACTCATAGGGCATGGATGTTTAGTTTGTGTGTGTGCGTTTATCTGTGTTTGTGTACAGGTAGAGGCCTTGCGACGAGCTGATCACCCGCCCAAGGAGTCCTACCGAATGTGTAAGATCTAGAAAAACCGAAGTGAACGGAGAAGTTCATGGAGGTAGGCCTAGGCCCACTGGGGCTGTACTGCCAAGGAAAAAAAAAGTTACATATTGTAATTAGAAATATGTAGATTATATTTATCCTCAGATTTAGGAAAGAAATTATTTACTATACAGATTAAACTATCTATAATACTGGCAATAAACTTAAGCCAGCAGCATAAGTAAGGCTACCCCTTACATTCCAGAATCCAGGATTTTTGAAGATACTATCCTGAAGAACATAATTTCTGCCATAAGGGACGGTTCTGAGTGTCTCGGAATTCCACCTCTGGATCCCTTTGACTACGAGGATAACATCCACATCGGATATTTCGAAATAAAGAACACCATACTGTAAGTAGATCAGCAAATTTGAAAACCATGTTCCAAGATGGAAAATATCAAAATGCTTGGTATTCCATTCTAGTTTCATAAGATTTAATCGAATTATAAATAAATGGAATTATATTCAACTGCAATAGTAGTATGTCACTGTTCGGAAACAGGTCTGATGTTCGCTATCTGAATTGTAATTACCAGTTTTCAATGTACGGATGGACATCTAATGGTTTGTCAAAAATAATGATGAAAAAATTGTAATAACGCTGGCTGGAGATGTCACGTTTTCTATAACTCCGATACACGTGTTAAACAATCCAAACCTAAACCTGTCGGGAGTGACAGGTCAGTGGTTGTAAAATGTTTTTTCCTTCCTGCTGCTATTGTCTTGCTTTCTGTTCCAGGATTCTTTATTAACTAATTTTATTGGCATTTATAGGAGCAGGATCTTCTGTGAATAGTTGTAGTGTCATTTACTCAGAGCGTAGAAAATCTAATAGGAAATATATATTTACCTTTTGTTCCTCTTCTACCGAAGGAGCTTCGCATGGAGGAATAAAAAAAAAATGCGTGTTTCCTAACTTGTTGATTAATGTTTTAGATCTTTCGCTCAGACAGTCCTCATTAGAACTTCCCATTATTGTTCTGTTTTAAAATTCATGGCTCACTCGAACACGTGACGTCTCAGTCATAGATTCGGCGTAGTTTGATGTAGGATAGCGTATCTACGCTATCAGAATAATATTATTATTTATCTATGAAATTTATTCCGAGATTGCAATATTATTCATGTCTTGGATTATATATATTTTTGAAATATCCACATATTTTCATTTCAGAAATAAAATATTCTTGTGGTCACTGATTCATATTCTGCGTCTTATGTCCTTTGATTTTGTTTTGTAAAACCTGAAAGAAAGAGATCACTTGGAACTTTGAGGCGTAGTAAAAATGTGAAGATGTTCTTGATATTTCCTGTTATGAGAATAATTATTTCAATATCTGTGTTAATTTTGTACTTAAACAAGATTTAAACATGTAAGATGAGAGAATGTGGACAGGATTCACCTTGCTCAGGATAGGGTCCAGTTACAGGGTCTTTTAAAATTGATAATGAAGTTTCAGCTCCGTAAGGCGAGAGCATTTCTTGATTAATTGGGCGAATGTAAGCTTATCAAGAAAGCTCTGCTCCACGGAATCAATTATTTAGTTAGATAGGTTAGTAGCTGGTTGTCTGGTTATTTAGCCACTTAGTTGTTTCCGTAATTTAATGTGATGCCTCGTCACTAAACTTATTTTCAGAGTAAATCGTAAGGAATACACTTTATGTATTACAATTCCTTTCGAAACAACTCGCAAGCTCCATGGAGCTAAGCCCTTTTTGAGAGGCCACCAGTCGCCCAGCTACTCAAGAATTTCCCAACATTTTATGGAACCCGACGTTTCATTGCGCGTTCACAATGGTCCCCATCATAGGCCACAAAAATGTTGTCCCTACCACCGCATCCTATTTCTCCAGGAAGGTAAAGGTAAGTTGTCCCTCTGCTTGACTAATTAAACACTACACCATGGAAGAATACGGGTGAATGTTTGTATAGATCCACGTTTCTTTACCTTGGCATTAACTGGAGGTGAGTGGTGAGCTTCAAGCCCCTGCCGCTTTAATCCCGGGGAAAGAGCCCTCGGTACCCATTGGATAGGAAGCTGCCTGGGCCCCAGAGCCGGTCTGGACAACATGGAGAAGTGAAAATTCTTTCCCTCACAGGGACTCGAACTCCAATTCCTTGGTCGTCAATTCCTTATCCCGTCGCTATGCCGACTACACTATCCCGGCTCCCCTATTTCTCTAATATCCATCTTCATATTTCCCTCCCACATACGTCTGTGTCTTCATGGTAATTTATTTGCACCTTACTTTCCTACCAAATTGTCATCGATATACTGGGCAACAAGTATTTGTTTTTCAGGTTGGACTATGTGAATCTGGACGGAGTACACTCTACGAAACTGTCAGATTTTCTGGTCCATACATTTACATTCGGGCTTGTCGGACTTGAAGTTGTTCTCAACATCACTTTTCCTGAAATAAATCTGCAACTGGAGCATTACAACATCAGTGGCATTGGCATTGATATCATCCCTTTCGAAGGCGACGGAGAAATCCAGTGAGTAGGCACACTGAATTTCTTCTTAATAAGACGATGTTACATTGTACTTTCCAGTACAGATTCTTACAAAATTTTCTCATCCATCGTGCTGTACTGAAATTGTATGCATGTGCGATTTTAAGTAAGTTTTTATTTTCACTACAAGGTTCCAGTTTGTGAAGCATTGCGTTAACTTTAACCCCTTTAGTGAAATTCACCTCCAGCACAATAAATTGTCTGAAGTACTCACAGTGGTAGTTATGAAGAGTTCTGTCTACTGGAAAATAACCCTGTGCAGTACGTCGCCTCCATCATCAGGGTAGAAGAATAAGCCCAGCCAGAAATCTGCATGAAGCAGGTAGCAACCAGAGCTTGCTGATTTCTTGTTTGGCCTAATTTTCGACCCTAAGATGGAGGCGACGTGTTCCCCTGAAACATGGGTTAATTTTCAACAGAGAGCGCTGCTCTATATCTTGGAAGATTGAACTCCTCAGAAGAAACGTAGTTCCAAATAAGCATCACTGTTTGGTGGTGGAGTAACTGTGAGTGTATTAAATAAGAAACAAATTAGCCTAAAACATTTTAGTCGGAAATTCTGGAGGGAACAGAAGTCTGGGCGTCGCTAAATTGTAACATTAAAATATAATTTAGGAAAGAGGTTGCTAAGGTATAGACTAGATACAGCTGCATCGTGATAATTACCAGCACCGGACGATTACGTACCTATTAATAAAACTTAAGGTTCCATGGAAGAAAGAATTTGTTGATTATCTTCTTCTCATGGAAGGGTAAATATAGTGCAATTAGTTTTTCTTTAAATTAACTTAATTTTTTTTTCGCATTTTTCTTCTTTGCTACTGAAAGAAAACTGCGCTTGTTAGTGGTATGCTCTTGTTAGTTTATGTTAAGAATGATGATCACGGATTAATTTGGAGAGATAATTCTGTCAATCTCCTGATTACAGGCTGACAGTACGCGATGTGAATGTGGCCACTTCATTCTCCTTTGGAGTGTCAGAAGCTGGGACGATATTCCTGGACACACTGAGCCTGGAGCTCGCAGTGGGCGAAGTGAAGGTTAGATAATGTTTTTTTTTTTATTGCTAGTGAGGTGGGACTAAGTCCCGTGTACTGCGGCCACTTCTGGCCTATTGTACCAGCCCCAGATGATAGGTGAGGGTGATTATGGAGCAATTGGTGGCGCCATTTTATCCACCACAAATCTCATTTGACCAGACCCGGGATCGAACCCGGGCCGCCGCGGTGGGAAGCCAGCGACTAACCGCTTGAGCTATGGAGCGGCCACCAGGTTAGATACTAAAACAATGAAGTGCTTGAACTAGTTGATAAGATCAGAGCTCTGTACTTATCAGTATTAACACTAGAAAGAGAGGTAGATATTTCAAGTTATTCCAATTGGACAGAAATTGCGTTCTGCATCAGTCACGCAGTATATTAATATTCTGATTTGCTTACAAATTTTTAGCAAGGAAATCTGAAGAGATGCTTGGGCATATACAATATATTAGGTTAATAATAATTGTATCATTCTTGCAGAACTAGGTAATGAGATTATGGGCTTGATTGGTCTGGCTCAGGATAGAACGCAGTAGCAGGCTATTATCAACAGGTAACGAATCTTCTCATCCCCTAAAATTCGAAGGATTTCATTGCCAGTTTAGCTACTATCGATTTAAAATCATGAAGCCTGCAACCAATATTATTCGAACTACTAACACAGTTATGTGTTAGAGAGCTTTCAAACGTTTTAAATAAAGCGAGAATAGTCATGTGAACAGAGAAGATGGGTATATTACCCTTTGCAGCGACTTTAAGGGTAGACTTTTTGTTAATATATAGAGTTTACCTGCTCCTTGTGATAGCAAGTGCCTTGTTTTCCAAACGAAAATGAGCTGTTAGGCAAAGTCACATTGTTCATGGCACACGGTTAACACGTAATGTTATTCTACAAGTACGACCCTCGAAATAATAAATTTTGTGAACAATTTATAAACGTGGCACGCATGTTATGGTTACCTACATCGTCAGTTCTACATATCCTACTTAACCGAGGTACGCCCGAAAAATGTGTCAGGCCTTTAAGCAATATGTGTCTTGAAATTTTCATGTGGCAAATACATCTAAAATAAAAGTGTGATTTAGCGTCCTTGTACAATAATCCATTCAAAATTAACTGCATTGTATAGGAAAGGTAACAAATAATATTATCTCTAATGGTATATTCAAGTTTTCCTGTTATGTCAGTAATTAGTCGAGGTATTTTTACACACTTCAGGAATGTGTCTGCGAACTCTACCAAATTAACGCCCGTGAATAAATATTCGTTTGATGTTATAGTAGGAAGCTGTAAATGCCCGCCGCTCTAGAGGATTACATTTGTCGTCATGTTACTAAAAATGCTGTAACTTATACAATGTTTGTGGTAAACGAACGAAATTAACGTTGCTTTTATCTAGAAAGAATATAGAATCTGGTATTGTAATTGAAAGATTTTAAAATCTGTAAAAATTCTTACACAGTTCTGTATGGGTGTGAAACTTGGTCTCTGACATTAAGGGAGGAACATAGACTGAGAGTGTTTGAGAACAGGGTGTTGGGGAGAATATTTGGACCGAAGAGGGATAAAGTGACAGGAGGTTGGAGAAAACTGCATAATGAGGAGCTTCATAACTTGTACTCTTCTTCAAGTATAATTAGAAAGATCAAGTCAAGGAGGATGAGGTGGGTAGGTCATATAGCACGAATGGGGGAGACGAGGAATGCGTATAGGATATTGGTGGAAAGCCAGAAGGAAAGAGACCACAAGGAAGACCAAGGCGTGGGTGAGTGGACAATATTAGAATGGATCTTAGAGAGATAGGATGGGATTTATTGATTGGATAGATCTGGCTCAGGATAGGGACCATTGGAGGGCTCTTGTGAACACGGTGATGAACTTTCGGGTTCCAGAAAATGCTGGGAAATTTTTGAGTAGCTGCAGAATTGGCCTCTCCTCAAGAAGGGCTCAGCTCCATGAGTAAGGAAGTAAGTAAGTAAAAATTCTTACACTGATTCATTTTTTTTGAACGTTTGCCTACCTTCTGCTTTTACCTCATGCACAATACGTTTCAGCAGTATAAATGTTGGCTCCTGGTTTATCAGTTAGAGGGAGAGGAAGTTTATATTTGTTTCTGCTGAATCATATTCCCAGATTACAGACGTTGCCTGTTCCTAGTAGCATGCATTCTCGGGACGTTATTTCAGAGGGCAGTTGTGTGATACAGATTCAGACTGCAGTACAGATAATTTGACAGTGGTCACGACGGAAGCTCGGAAAGCGAAGTCGACAAAGAACCATTATCCTCGTCGACAACCTGGGGACCACCACAAAAAACATGACAGGAGGGGTGTCAATATTTTTTCCGGTGGAGCAGTGGGGATAAATCTCAATACGTAAAGAAGGATTCCGCCCCACTCTGCATTTTCATGCTTTACTTAGCAGGAATTATCCAGCTGCTAGTGGAAGAGACTAACAGATATTATCACCAGGACCTAGACAGACTTGAAGACGGTCCTTCTCCGCGCCATGATGTAACCGACTCCGATATGTTTCTGTTTCTAGGAATCAGCACTCAAATAGGACATAATATAAGGAACAGACTAAAGGACTACTGGTAAACTGCTGAGCAATTTTGCACGCCTTTCTACAGCAACAATGAAACGCGAGCATTTTCTTCGCCTTCTTCGTTTCATTCATTTTGCAGACAAGAACACAGAAAGTGACAGGAATGCCGACAGTTATGACCGACTATGGAAAATTCGGACCATCTTCGATGGTCTAAATGACGCATATCAAAAATATTATAGTCTCTCTGAACTAATTGCCATATTCAAAGGGACGGTGTTTTTCAGACAGTACGATTCTGAACAGTTTCTTCATGTTGTCATGCTGTGTTGCGAAACTGTCACATCGAGACTTTCGTCTCGCCCTTGTGCGAAATATGCCGGAACATGCTGCAAGGGCTCCACCTCGCCCACAACGGCCCATAGGTCGACCTCCTGCTCTGTCATGTACAATATGTCGATTGGAGGAAGCCAATCGACATCACTGGCCAACTTCCTCAACCACGAGACTGAACTGTCGTGTGTGTTCTTCAGGTGCAAAGAGGAGAAACATCCGAACAAGGTGCAAAGAATTCGACGTTGGACTCTGCATTTTCGGGTGTTTCCACGAGAACAGCACGAAGACTAGATTCAGTTAGGTGATGCAAGAGTGAAGCCTGTTTACTTATCAAACTGATGCCAAAAAAGAATATAAGTAAAACAAAGATTTATATCTTCAAATTAGTTTTTCAAAACACTGTGAACGCGTGTGGACTACACGTCCCATTCGGAGCACTTCGGCCACGACGACTGCACTTTAAATGTCCCATACGGCGTATCTCTTAAAGGTTAAATCTGCTTCACAGAAAACAGTGTCTAGGAACCTTGACTTCCATCACACACGGTTCATCGTTAGCAGAATGTGAATATGTTAGCTATGCTACGATTCCTGCAGAAAATTGTTTAATTACTTAATCAAGCAATGTCAGCTCCTTGCTTTTGGATTCTTCATCTGTCAGGGAAATATTCTTCTTACTTTAATGACAGGTTTTCACTTGATATTCATATCTGAGTAAACAGAATGCCGTATAAGAAATTAGTGACATCGAAACCTGAAAAGTTCTGGATTTAATAATGGAGTAATATTTTGATGGTCTTCATTGCTGTAAGGTACATCTCTCAACTGAATATCCAAAACAACTCGATATTTATACATAACATATTACAGAATCGGTAACAGATACAGAGCTATGAAGTTATCTGTACTATATAGCTGTATCATTTGTTGACAGTTCTCAATCACAGGCCTCATGGGAGGGAGTCGAACCAGTTACTTGGCCAGTGATATAGGGAGTTCAGCTGCACCGAAGGCTATAAGAGAACTTCAGGCCTTATACGGACCGGAAATCATACAAGAATT